CATATTTAAATTACTGGTTTGCACCAAAAAACCCAAAAATGCACATATTGCAATATCTTGGCACTCGGACTATTGACAGACCTGAAAGTCAGTACATATGTATATCTAATATGATTGATAATAGCCTCAAATTTATAGACCTGTAGCATCGGTAGGTGTTGAGATATAGAGGTGCAGGTTTTTTGCATTAAAACAATGTGCATATTTGCAATATCTTGGCATCCAGACAATCAACAGAGCTGAAAATTGGTACACTGGTAGATATAATATGATTGATAATAGCCTCCAATTTATAGACTTGTAGCATCTGTAGCTGTTGAGATATAGAGGTGCAGGTTTTCTGCATTTAAAACAATGCGCATATTGCAATATCTTAGCATCAAGACGAAAATTTGTACACAAGTAGATATAATATAGGTAATGTTGGCTTCAAACTTATAGACCTGTAGCATTAGTAGGTGTTGAGATATAGAGGTGCGGGTTTTCTGCATTTAAAACATGCAATATCTCATGCCACAGCACCCCTGAAGATCTGAAGGTGCTTATGTAAGCTTCTCTGAACATCGCCTCATAGTGTATAAAATTTCAGAGCTGTAGCTGCAGCTGTTGCAGAGATAGAGAGACACTGTTTCTGTAGTAGCATGTGACTTGCTAGGTCATGTGAGCAGAGTATGTGAATACTATGTCATTTGTAGACAGTAAGGTAAATGATCAGGTGACTTGTACTGGCCATAATTGTGTGCTACATCATTGCATTCTTTCTTCTGCTGCTACTATCACCATTCCTCCTCTCCCTCTTCTACTATAGATACCTACACCATGCACCTGTGCCTTCCAATGAGGGTCAGGGCACATTTTGAAGGGCTGAATGGAGGAGGAGGAAAACAAAGGGAGACCCAAGTAACTGGAGACCTGAGTAGCCGGAGACTGAACACCCAACGCAGTGAGTGACTGACTACCTCTTCTTCCACTCTTCCTTACTCACCTGCTAGTTCTCTGTTGCATCACACAAGTTGATAATAGGCCCCATGTCTCATTGCTGGTCTGCTGATTCAACATCGGCCACAGTAACTGGAAGCTGCTCTCTCATGGCTCAATGTCAGTCCCCCACAACTCAATGTCAGCTCCAACAACTCAATGACCGCCTCTACAGATCAATGTCAGGTCCAACATCTCCATGCCCATGCCCTCCAATAAAGGTTATGGAAGAGCTGGATGGAGAGAAGGACCACAAGGGAGACCTGAGCAGTGGGAGACCCAGCATAGTGTGTCACTGACCCTAATCCCTCCTTCCATTACTTACTCCACCCCACCAGTTCATCATCATGTTGTGCAACTTGATGACAGCCTCCACAAGTCAACAACAACCACCTCTGTGACTCAACAACAGTGTTCTCTCATTCATACTCATGACTTGGCCTTTGCTTCCTGGAACATGTATTTCACATAATTATTCTCAATATATATCTATTCTGTTTCATGATGTTCTGAAAGTGAACTTTTTTAGAGGATGAGAGCTTCAGCATCATTCTCTGTCATCAGGGCTCTTCAGGGGCTGTTTGGATGGGTGAGGGGTGTCAGAGGGGCAAGAAGAGGGGGCTGGTGGTGGCAGAAGATGAGAGGGAGGGGGGAAGGGCGAGAAGGGGTGGGTAGGGCACAGAACGACTGCGAATGCTGCTGAATGTCAAAGTTTGGTGTTGTTTGTTGTCCTGGGTAGCTGTTTGTGTGGGCAAGGGCATTGGAAGAGTGAGAAGCAGTGGTGGTGGGGGTGGAAGATGAGAGGCAGGCGGTGCTGGGTGGGCAGGCGGGCAGGACAGAGAACAAGTGCAAATGACACCCAACCTCTGTGTTTGGTATTGTTCATTGTCTTTGGGGGCTGTTTGGATGGGCGAGGGGCATTGGAGGGGTGTGAGGAGGGGGTGGTGGTGGTGGAAGATGAGAGTGAGGGT